CTGAATGCTAAGCTCATTTTTCTTTCTTCAGATAAACTAAAGTCGTTACTTTGATAATGGATGTCTCGACTTCCGTGCACTTAACCGGGAAAAGCTTAACATTAAAAGTCAAGTTCATGATGTTTACCGGGTTTTTTATTGCATAGGTCACGTTATACAATTTTTTTTTTTTGCATCAGTTATCCCTCTGGTAATGGCAATAAAGCAATCACATATTATTAGGCCTATTTACATGATTAGACCCATTGTCAAAGACTATAAAGTACAGTAGTTTGTGTTGTTATATTTAATATCTAATATTCGATTAATTATTATAATTTAAACTTCATAAAATAATATTTCATGCTTATTATCGTTGACAAATTTTTAAGAACGAGGCTAATTCAGAGCATACAAAATTATTTGGACTGCAATTTGAAAAAATCGTAGTCAATAACTTTCTCGTGTTGTCAGTCCAGCTGTCCGCCTATCTGTCCGTCTATTCTTAATCTCGATAAGAATTAGATAGATGAGACCAGACAATATATGAAAACCATTGGGACAGGAGGCCCCGATTAACTATATACGAAATTTCCCCCGAAAAAATGTTAGATAGATGACCGGCATGAGTCTATTGCTAACGGAAAAGTATGATGTACAGAGGCAAACCGCTATAAATCAACGTGGAGAGCATATACAGTATTTTAAATGAAGTAAATTGAAAATATGGTTAAAAATTACAGTACTACATTGTGACGATTTAACAATAAATAATTGTTCATTATTCCTTATATTATTTTCTGAAATGATTAATTAAGTACTAGAAATTTATTTAAAAATTGGAAAGTATTTCTAATTAATAAAATTAGTAAAACATGAACTTACGAAAGGAATAATAAGTATCGGAAAAAATATTTTTAATACTGAATTATTTAAAAGTAATAAAATTACAAGGATTGTCTACAGAGTATCTTTCTAGTTTATCCTCGAATCGTCTGCAACCTGATTTTCAACTTTAGAAATTTAATGTTCTTATATAATAAATTAAAATCCATTTTATTCTATTATTCAGAATATTCCAAAATATTCTGTTTGTAGAATACAGTACTCATAAATTGTACGAGCAATTATTTATTGTGACACCGTCACAATGCTGGGCTGCAATTTTTAATCATATTTGTTTAAATTTGTTTTATTTAAAATATATGCTCTCTATTTGATTTGTGTTATTAAAGTGAAATAATTAATATTAAACAGTTAAATAAGAATCATAAAACGTATTTATTATTAACTTATATCACAAAAGATTCAATACGATAAATAACAAGAAGGTAAAGAAAAAACAAATTGAAAAAAATGTTCAGTGACGTGAAGATGAACTGTACAGTACATCAAAATGTTTGATACATGACTCTGTCAAAGAATTCTAATTGTTTCTATATTACATCCTTATGTAATGGTTTCATTTGCTTAATATTTTATCTTGCTAGATGGATTGCAATTGATGGTATCAATTCTGAATTTATTGGAATTGGATCTCAATTCTTCACTACGAAACGTGGATAACGAAGCTAAGGACTTTCTGAATTCATGATATCGATGAAGGAAAATCGTTTTAATTTTAATAAATCTAGTGAATGCCACAAAAATAAAGGCACCCTGAAGCGTTACAACAGTAATCATAATGAATTGGATTACCAACGAGGATATAAAATACGTGAGCAGTCCAAAAATCCATCCTACACCCATTATAATTGCAAGTTTTACATACAAAGCAAGCGTTTTCTTCCTTCCATTGTGCTGGTTATCGATTTTCATAGAGCTTGAAAATATGATATGGGCACTGAATACGAAGAATAAAATATTTGTAAATATTAGCAGACCTATGGGAATTGCAAAGAAGACAACCATGGACGATAGTCGAGAAAACCAACATATCCATAGACGTGACTTAAATCCCGGTTTTAAAACTTCGGGGAATATTGCACTTTCTTCTCCTGTGATCACTACGATCAAGAACAATGCCGGGATACCCCAGGAATATAAGGAATAGAAGAAAAACTTCTTGAATTCCTCGTGTTTCGACGTCAACCGGAGTTTAGTTGTAGCTTGTCTGAAGGAACGAAACACGTTGAAGGATATTGCATTTATCCAGAAGAAAGACGTCATCATAAAATAATATCCGGCTAATCCCAGAGGGTAACATGTCCAAGTGGACTTGAATATTATCCTCCCTAACATAAAAATTAAATTAGCTACGAACATAGATAAAGCGAGAGATGCTATATTTTTCCCCGGCAAATTCCTCATATCTGGCACAAAAAGAAATGCTACTAAGTGTAGAAATAAACAAACGAGAGACAACGAGAAACCAACAACGGTGTAAATTTGTAAAATTTCTTGTATGTAGCAATATTCTTTTAATAAAATCTGCGGAAAACACACGTATACACCATTCTCAGTTAGATAATAATCTTCTGGAGAGTAAAGTCCTCGATGATCAAGAAATGAATAGTTCGGGATGTACACAGTTTGATTTTCTAGTATTTGAAAATGTTCGAATTCGATTAATGTTTTCAGGCAGGACAGAAACTTCTCACTATAGTTTCCGTATTCTTCTGCATTCTTTTCTGTGTAATTATAAAAACCAGACGCTAATCTTTTTGTAGAATTTAGAGTCAATTCTCCCTCACTTAAGACGACTTGAATTAACTTTGATAATATAGGAAAAATTGTCAGGAACGTTTGGATGATCTTCATCTTCATCTCTGCCGAGTATTGGAAGCTCTTCTTTAAAAATAGACTTTTATCTACAATATAAAAAGTCATCAAATTAATCCATTTATAAACTTCCAATAACTAAAACTTTTAAATCTTTTTAACATTTTATTTCGAAACAACTCAGGTGTTTTATATTATCTAAATGATTTTAATAAANAATTATTCTCGTATAAAATGTCATCACTTCTTGCTTAAAAATAGAATAATTATTTCGATAAACAAAACTCGCTCTGATTTACTACAGTGAGTTTTCTTTTCTCTCATAACAGGTATAACTTTTAATGTAAGGTGCGAGTATGCAGAACGGGAGCGAGCGAATTTTCTGAGAGAGAGAGAATATATGGCGAGAAGAGGTGATGACGTTTCACTCTCTCTGTTTCTCGCTCTCCTCTGTTTGGTCGTAACAAATGAGAGCGAGAAAGACAGCGTCAAATTTCATCACATCTCGCTACATATTCTCGCTCGTTCGCGTCTGCATAGTCATACTATTACAGACAAACTTACGTTTTTGAACATGATTTGTTCCTAAAAGTTGTTCGAAAACCGAAACACATCTTCATAAAAAACAATATAAAATAGATTAATTTGTTCCTTGCTTAAAGAATAAAGCCTTTTTTACGTTTTTAGCCGTATCTAATGCCTAAACATGCCCATTGTCAAAGACTATAAAGTACAGTAGTTTGTGTTGTTATATTTAATATCTAATATTCGATTAATTATTATAATTTAAACTTCATAAAATAATATTTCATGCTTATTATCGTTGACAAATTTTTAAGAACGAGGCTAATTCAGAGCATACAAAATTATTTGGACTGCAATTTGAAAAAATCATAGGTCAATAAATTTCTCGTGTTGTCAGTCCAGCTGTTTGTCTGTCTGTCCGTCTTTTCTTATTCTCGATAACGAATTAGATAGATGAGACGAGACCATATATGAAAACCATTGGGACAGTAGGCCTCGATTAACTATACACGAAGTTCCCCCGAAAAATGTTAGATAGATGAACGGCATGAGTCTATTGCTAACGGAAAAGTATGATGTACAGTACAGAGGCAAGCCGCTCTAAATCAAGGTGGAGAGCATATACAGTATTTTAAATGAAGTAAATTGAAAATATGGTTAAAAATTGCAGCACAGACATTGTGACGATTTAACAATAAATAATTGTTCATTATTCCTTATATTATTTTCNATTATATTCGACCTTGATTTGTGTGCTGAAGCTCGACCTTGGACAGATTAAAAGTCACTGGAACTTTTTTATGACGCAGGAAAAATAATTCGAAAGTTTTATATCCATATTTTATATTTATTTTTTACATAATAAAATAATTGAATAAATTTTATAAAAAGATTAAAGTGGAAAAGATGTGAAGTTTAAATTAAGGTCCGTACTTCGTTTTTGAATTGCTTGTTTTCTTTGTGGTTTTCAAATCAGAATAACTACATAAAAAAGAAATATGAAATTGTAATTTATCAAAAATATAAGTTTCGTTTTATGAGTTATTACTTTTCTGGATGTTATATATATCAGAGGAAAGTATGGCGATTGGTCAAAAATAATCTTTCCCCCAGATCATTACATTTTTGGATTTAAAGCCTTGAAATTTCGACAAATAAAAAATAAAATAAAATAAAAATTAAAATTAAATAAAATTCTGAGTAATTTCTGTATAAGTGAATGTATAATTTCTGTATAAGTGAATTTCTGTATAATTTCTGTCTGTGTGTATGTGTGTGTTTGTGTGGCACGGTTTTGTTTACCCTATTTGAAGGTTAAAAACTCTTATGGTTTTTCTCGAAAATTCCTGAAATTTTGCAGAGAGGTTTGCGTGTTAAGAGGATTGATGCGGTTAAATTTTGGAGGTTAAAGGTCGATGGAGTGAGGAAATAATGGGAGTCGTGTTATCTCGAGAAGGCTCGGAAATAAATGACGATTTAACTCGTTATTAGCATTTGAAATTGAACTAGTCTCTACTCTCAAAATTAAGCTTTTTGTCATTTTATAACATCAATAGTTAAAAACATAAAAATTTTTAAAATAAAATATGATAATAGATCGTGCCATAAAAATTTTAAACGTTGCCGATGAAGTTGAGCTGGTTTATTTTATTGTACTGTATTTACAATCAATATGTAGCTCACTAGTGGTTGAGCGGATAAAAAAAAATTGAAAACTGCTCAGTCGTTAATGCGTCTCATCAACGGGCTGGCCACGTGAAGTATTACAACATTTCTTCACATGTATAACAAGCGAACAGAGGTCGTTTTCTGATACAAAGTTTCCCGAATCAGATCGCCCATCGCATCAAACAGTTAACCTCTACAACCTTACATTTCTGTGAATTATTTCGCAAATAAATTTATTTTCCTTATTTAAAGTATTGAAGAATAACATAATTTTCTTATTTTCTATTATTGTATCTTATAATAATTTATGTTGTTATGAAGATCGTTTTGTTGTGGATTAAATGGATCCAATATCCAAATTTGAAACGTCTTTATTCCAACACTAGTGCTACTGCTTGCTTCAGTTTTTAATTAGTGCTATTGAAGACACAATTACTGTATATTCCAATGACTAAAACTGAAGTGTAATAGAGGATGGTAGTTGTTTGTAATTTATAACTTTAGCATGCATCCTTTATTCTGTTTGTTGTATGAATGAGGTCTTCAATTTCAGTTACAACAAAATTTGTGTTAACAGGTCGTAAGTAATACATATACACCAGTCATAGAAATCTTTTACCGTAACAAGTTTTAATATATACAAATTTATCTTCTGTTGTATAATCAACACTAGTAAAAAGTTAATCGTGCACGTCTCCCTCTTTCAATTGTCCGCTTTTCCCCTTCTGATTTCTTTAATCTTTGGCCTATTCAGTTCTCAGTAGCACTCATCCAGGTTCGTAATGGCTGATATAAACTATTTAATTGTATCGATATATTTTATTCTGTATTATTTTTCGTACGCCTTGTACGTATTACATAAAATGAAAATAAAACCTTTATTTATATTACTTAATTATATATTTACAAAAATAATTATTTTTTATGTAGCACTAAAAAAATCATATATTTATGAGATTAATAAACCGTACACGTATTTTCCTGTTATAAACTTCCAATAACTAAAACTTTTAAATCTTTTTAACATTTTATTTCGAAACAACTCAGGTGTTTTATATTATCTAAATGATTTTAATAAACTTACAAGGACAACTAATACATCGAATTTTTCATAACCAATCAGTAGACAAATCTCATTAAACTCGATTGTCTTAGAGTTATATTATGTGAGGGACGAACAGACCCATAATAAAGTGTTATTTTAAATTTTAATTATTAAAACATTTCATCATATAAAATACAGCGTTAGGCTAAAAGCCATAAAAATTTATTTCCCACGGAGTTGGTTCCTTGTTGAAGAGGATCCAGCTAGTCAGCGATGTGTCCCTCAGAACTTTCGATAGAGTGCCTATATTGGACGCCAGACCGTTAACAACAACCACCTGACCTCATGGAAAAAACCCAAGAGGAATAACAAGAGAAAAGGAAAAAAACACCCGAGGTCAGTCGTCGTCAAAAGTCCCTCCACAAAAGTCGTCCTCAAGGATTAAACCTGTGAACCCGAATCCAGACCTAAAACCCGTGCACCAGAATCCAGAAGTAACACCGTGACAGAAGTAACACCGTGCCTCTTTAAGAATCTCACCCCTCTTCCGTGCTTCCACACCTCCGAGCTCCTGTTAACGGACCAGAATTTGAGAGAAAATTCCATCGAAGTCAACAGTGTCATCATACTACAGATCTGCGACCTAGAAGAAAGGTATTTATCAACTCGCGATTCGGTTGTAAACTCTCTCTCTCAACGTATCATTTAGTATCATTCTCAACGTATCGCTCAGTATCATTAGGGTAAACTTTAGGCATGCCCGATATCGAATATATCTGTATTTTCTTCAGTACTTATTAAAATTGTTATTTATTTGTTACTATGGAGTCAGAGTGAGTCACTTCCTCGTCTCTCTCTTCACCTCTACCCCGAATCCAATCGCTCCCCCGCTACCGCTCGCGTGACGCAACATCGCGATTTCCGAGTCCTGCGAGACTCGGTGCTGTCAGATTCAGGTCTCCTGACGTGGTGTCAAAGAGACATCGACTCTCCGGTCACAATTATATTAGAATCTTATACGTATCATAATTTTATGTGATTTTATACACGATAGAACATTACTAATTTCTACAAAGTATTAAGAGATTACTTAGAACAGTTATACTTGACTTAAGATGCACGCATCTCTGAAAATACAAGACACCTTTCCTGAGCGTTATGTTGTTGCTTAACGGGATGAAATTGTATTTTTTACTTCATAATTTCAATCGCGGGAATTTCTAAGGTTAGTTCTTTCTGAGAAACATAATAATTATATCGAAAATATTAATAGTAGGAGTCGGATAAAACCAGCGAATATAGTAAACAACGAAAAATACTTATACGTGTCTCGAATTATATTCGACCTTGATTTGTGTGCTGAAGCTCGACCTTGGACAGATTAAAAGTCACTGGAACTTTTTTATGACGCAGGAAAAATAATTCGAAAGTTTTATATCCATATTTTATATTTATTTTTTACATAATAAAATAATTGAATAAATTTTATAAAAAGATTAAAGTGGAAAAGATGTGAAGTTTAAATTAAGGTCCGTACTTCGTTTTTGAATTGCTTGTTTTCTTTGTGGTTTTCAAATCAGAATAACTACATAAAAAAGAAATATGAAATTGTAATTTATCAAAAATATAAGTTTCGTTTTATGAGTTATTACTTTTCTGGATGTTATATATATCAGAGGAAAGTATGGCGATTGGTCAAAAATAACTCTTTCCCCCAGATCATTACATTTTTGGATTTAAAGCCTTGAAATTTCGACAAATAAAAAATAAAATAAAATAAAAATTAAAATTAAATAAAATTCTGAGTAATTTCTGTATAAGTGAATGTATAATTTCTGTATAAGTGAATTTCTGTATAATTTCTGTCTGTGTGTATGTGTGTGTTTGTGTGGCACGGTTTTGTTTACCCTATTTGAAGGTTAAAAACTCTTATGGTTTTTCTCGAAAATTCCTGAAATTTTGCAGAGAGGTTTGCGTGTTAAGAGGATTGATGCGGTTAAATTTTGGAGGTTAAAGGTCGATGGAGTGAGGAAATAATGGGAGTCGTGTTATCTCGAGAAGGCTCGGAAATAAATGACGATTTAACTCGTTATTAGCATTTGAAATTGAACTAGTCTCTACTCTCAAAATTAAGCTTTTTGTCATTTTATAACATCAATAGTTAAAAACATAAAAATTTTTAAAATAAAATATGATAATAGATCGTGCCATAAAAATTTTAAACGTTGCCGATGAAGTTGAGCTGGTTTATTTTATTGTACTGTATTTACAATCAATATGTAGCTCACTAGTGGTTGAGCGGATAAAAAAAAATTGAAAACTGCTCAGTCGTTAATGCGTCTCATCAACGGGCTGGCCACGTGAAGTATTACAACATTTCTTCACATGTATAACAAGCGAACAGAGGTCGTTTTCTGATACAAAGTTTCCCGAATCAGATCGCCCATCGCATCAAACAGTTAACCTCTACAACCTTACATTTCTGTGAATTATTTCGCAAATAAATTTATTTTCCTTATTTAAAGTATTGAAGAATAACATAATTTTATTATTTTCTATTATTGTATCTTATAATAATTTATGTTGTTATGAAGATCGTTTTGTTGTGGATTAAATGGATCCAATATCCAAATTTGAAACGTCTTTATTCCAACACTAGTGCTACTGCTTGCTTCAGTTTTTAATTAGTGCTATTGAAGACACAATTACTGTATATTCCAATGACTAAAACTGAAGTGTAATAGAGGATGGTAGTTGTTTGTAATTTATAACTTTAGCATGCATCCTTTATTCTGTTTGTTGTATGAATGAGGTCTTCAATTTCAGTTACAACAAAATTTGTGTTAACAGGTCGTAAGTAATACATATACACCAGTCATAGAAATCTTTTACCGTAACAAGTTTTAATATATACAAATTTATCTTCTGTTGTATAATCAACACTAGTAAAAAGTTAATCGTGCACGTCTCCCTCTTTCAATTGTCCGCTTTTCCCCTTCTGATTTCTTTAATCTTTGGCCTATTCAGTTCTCAGTAGCACTCATCCAGGTTCGTAATGGCTGATATAAACTATTTAATTGTATCGATATATTTTATTCTGTATTATTTTTCGTACGCCTTGTACGTATTACATAAAATGAAAATAAAACCTTTATTTATATTACTTAATTATATATTTACAAAAATAATTATTTTTTATGTAGCACTAAAAAAATCATATATTTATGAGATTAATAAACCGTACACGTATTTTCCTGTGGATGTCACAACTTCCTTTAAGTTACTTTATCCACTAATCAAACTTTAATAATTTTTATTTATAATGTTATTTTTATATAAGGATTATTAAAGATCTTCACATATTCATAACTTTAATGCAAAAATAGCGACATTTCGTCCACATAAACATATGCTACTATAATCTAAAGCTTCTGAAATCAGTACATAAAACAGGTCGAATTATTCGATTTTTATTTAAAAACAGTATTTTCTAACTAAATTACTCATTTAAAAATTGTTAACATAGCAACTTTCTTGATGAAGATAGGGTGTTAGTTAATGTTCATAAACTTCTTTCGGTAGAGGCTTTTAGTAATCTATTAGACGGTAATAGATTAACAGACTAAAAGCTTATATTAAAACTATTTTGTTCTATTTACTAATTAAATAGTAGTAAATAACAATACGAGCTTGCTGGTCTTATTGTTATAATTAGACCATAGCCCTCTTCATCCTGGATACATAAAGAGGTCTATTGAAAATGCCGAAATGCTTTCAAAACCCATCTGGCTAAAATACTTATTTATAACTGTTTTATAAAATTCTCTTTTAAAAAAAATTAATTGAAATAGCGGGTATCAAATGAAAAGTTTTTGATATTTAATTTCTAAAGTTATTTTAATTCAAGAAGATTGTTTTTCATTTTTTTTCTTAAAATTTTTTTAGCTGTTTTGCATCTTTTAATCCGTAATCTAAGTTTACGAATAAGTTTTATAAACACATTTTACCTCTTATGATTCGTCTAACGATAAATACTTTCTAAATACTTACAAAATGATGCTAATTTTCGTGTAAACACACAGAAGAAATGACTAACGTCATAAATACTTGTAGAAATTAAATATATTTTAATAAATTTATTCATATTCGTAGGTGTAAAATCTAAAATTTACGGTGTTTTTCTCGTGTCAGTGTAGTTTGAACTTTTAAAATCGACCAATATCACCTTTGCATACAGTTGTGTTACAGTAGAGCCTCGATTATCCGACCCCCTATCAACTGACCCCTCGGTTAACCGACCGTCCTAGTCGGCAAATTTCAAATGTCCGCTATTGATGTGGCGCTACAATATTTGGCTATGTCTTGGCTACTTTAATATTATTTTTACGTGTTTTAGCTGGCAACACTCATTCGACCATGAAGGGGAGCCAGTATTTAAACAAGGCTTAATTTTCTAATTTTTAACGATACAATAGCGATAATTATTATTTTAAAAAATTTTTGTTAGGCTTAACATCGATGAAAATTCAACGCAAAGTAGGTTAATAGCGATATACTAATATACTAATATACTAATTACATGGGATATAATAATATACTACACTAATAATAGATTTTTTCATACTTTTCGGTTATCCGCCCTTTCAATTATCCGTCCAACCCCAGTCCCCAATTAGGTCGGATAATCGAGGCTCTACTGTATTTTGTTTAATAAATATGTTTATTTATTTATTTTATTGAAGTTTTTATCATAGATTTACAAATAAAGTCTACTGTACAAAGAAAAATATTGAAATTTAAACATTCTGTATATAAAAAACAAAAAATATATAAATGAAAAGTGCAAAATAAAGTTTCCAAATTAAAATTAAACATTTTTGCAATTAGTTTAATTAAAAATTTTAATATTTTCATAAATGAAATCAATAAATGAGAATTTAAATCATTAATTAACGTTTACATGTATGTAACATCATTCACTCCTTAAATATGAAATTAATAAAAGTAGAAAATGCTATCGAATTACTTTTAACACATAAATATACATTATATTTAATAATTTAATTCTTTTCCATGCAAAAATATTTATTTATAAATCAATAACAGGATATTAATATATAGCAAATATAAATTACTCACTCCGATTGACAAGTAGGTATACACACATCCACTGATTTACGTTTTAGTACACTCCGTAAGGAAAGACGAGGATAATGAATACAAGTTGAATACAATGAATACAAGAATGCACGTGTTGGCACTTTAACCAGGAAAACCGGAAAATCCCCATCGTTCGTCTTCTATGACGCCAATCTACTTCCGATTGTGTCATACGTAACCTCATTTAACTGCGCTTCCGATCTACCTGAAAACTTCCAGAAAATTGTTCTGTATACGTACAACATTACGATATTTTTAAATAAACAATCTATAAATGGTAACATTATATGACGAAGCATATTTACTACTTTTAATTGTAGAATTTAGTATGAAAATGATAAGTAATTTAACTAGAAAATGAATTTTAAAGCTGTTTTTTATTTAATTTACTGTTAAATAAGTCGTAAAAGACATTTATCTTCATTAAGCTGTAACATAAAGTCGTAGTACAGACAGCTGTTATATATATCTATAAAGCCATACGTAATGTTAGAGTTATTTACGTGCATTTCCTTAAACACATGTAATCAGAATTTTTACTGTATGAAATATTTTTAATTAGTAAAATACTTACTATACGGCTATTTAAGGATGTAAAATATAGAATCAAAGTTATTGTAGCCTTGAAGGTTTTCTCCACTTCTATCTTTCAAAATCTTTAATGTAAGTGTATAAAGTGCAACCGGTTTTAGTATAGAGAATATAAGAAAAACAGAAAATGAAGTGCAACGACACTCAACCACCCAATAATTTTATCCATTATTCTTATTTTTATTTGTGTATATATATATTTCTTTTCATTTATAATTACGTTAAAATATAATTTCCTAATTTGTAACTTCTCAACAATAAGTCATCTAACCATTATTAATATCAAGATATAATTTATATTTTATCTGGAAATGGCATAATTAAAAAAAAAGCTGTTACACAACAGAAAAACCTGGAAATTCCTACAGAAATATCGTTAGTAGACGTCGAATTAATATAAAAATATATTTATTTCTCTATTCTAAAACATACTTCGCCAGTTTGTTTATTTTATTTTAAATTCTAAACACAATAACATCGATTCTGTTTTTAGATGTGTTTTAAGCACAAGAAATTATTATTTATAACTAAAAGTAAAATTGCATGAATCCATTTCGAGAGTGTAAATTACATCAAGAAAAATTTCGATCTTGTTTCCTCCTGAATCTCAGGAATTAGAATGAATAAAATCAACAAACACTGATGGTCGGTCGAGGGCAGCAGCGTAGCGTAGGGGGGGGCGATCCGCCCCGGGCGGCACTTTTTAGGGGGCTTCAAAATTACGTTTTAGGAGGCGGCAAAATTTGACAATAAATAATAATAATATCTTGTAAGAATTTGAACCATTTTATTTCATATTTTCGTCCACCTACGATTCGGACCGATTGAAATGAGCACGGAATAGTGTTACCATCCGACTCGCCGTCCGGGGATGTCGTGTGCAACCTGTCGACCCTTAGAGCTAGGTCACTTGCGTTACTCCTATCCAAGTTTCCCTATTATTCTTCGCATTGCAAAATGATATACGCATGCGTTCGGAACTTCTGTTCGAACAAACCTCACCTGCCGTCCGGGTCAGCGATTTTAAAAAGGTGGCAACACTAGCACGGAAAATTTCATTACTTATTCTGTAACGAAATTTTAGTCTTTTAAATTGAGATACCTAAAGAAGGGGGCGGCGAAATTTTCCTTCGCCCCGGGCGACTGACGCCCACGATACGCCACTGGTCGAGGGTTCGATCCTCACCGACGGGCTGGTCACGTAAAATATTTTAGGTTTTCTCACGCATGTAACACCTAAATGCAAACCAGTTTTGTATAAAAATCCACCCGGAATACAAATCTTTGCCCTCTTGGCAAATTTTCCATCTGTTACCTTGCATGTAACCCTTGACTTTCCAAAAATTCATCAGAAACGAGTCTATTTTTTATTTTTTTCAAGTCATGCAACTTAAATAATATTAAAAAGTTAAATTTAAAGAATCCCTTAAAATCATAATAAAAGACATTTTTATTTANTCACAACTTCCTTTAAGTTACTTTATCCACTAATCAAACTTTAATAATTTTTATTTATAATGTTATTTTTATATAAGGATTATTAAAGATCTTCACATATTCATAACTTTAATGCAAAAATAGCGACATTTCGTCCACATAAACATATGCTACTATAATCAAAAGCTTCTGAAATCAGTACATAAAACAGGTCGAATTATTCGATTTTTATTTAAAAACAGTATTTTCTAACTAAATTACTCATTTAAAAATTGTTAACATAGCAACTTTCTTGATGAAGATAGGGTGTTAGTTAATGTTCATAAACTTCTTTCGGTAGAGGCTTTTAGTCTGTTAATCTATTAGACGGTAATAGATTAACAGACTAAAAGCTTATATTAAAACTATTTTGTTCTATTTACTAATTAAATAGTAGTAAATAACAATACGAGCTTGCTGGTCTTATTGTTATAATTAGACTATAGCCCTCTTCATCCTGGGTACATAAAGAGGTCTATTGAAAATGCCGAAATGCTTTCAAAACCCATCTGGCTAAAATACTTATTTATAACTGTTTTATAAAATTCTCTTTAAAAAAAAATTAATTGAAATAGCGGGTATCAAATGAAAAGTTTTTGATATTTAATTTCTAAAGTTATTTTAATTCAAGAAGATTGTTTTTCATTTTTTTTCTTAAAATTTTTTTAGCTGTTTTGCATCTTTTAATCCGTAATCTAAGTTTACGAATAAGTTTTATAAACACATTTTACCTCTTATGATTCGTCTAACGATAAATACTTTCTAAATACTTACAAAATGATGCTAATTTTCGTGTAAACACACAGAAGAAATGACTAACGTCATAAATACTTGTAGAAATTAAATATATTTTAATAAATTTATTCATATTCGTAGGTGTAAAATCTAAAATTTACGGTGTTTTTCTCGTGTCAGTGTAGTTTGAACTTTTAAAATCGACCAATATCACCTTTGCATACAGTTGTGTTACAGTAGAGCCTCGATTATCCGACCCCCTATCAACTGACCCCTCGGTTAACCGACCGTCCTAGTCGGCAAATTTCAAATGTCCGCTATTGATGTGGCGCTACAATATTTGGCTATGTCTTGGCTACTTTAATATTATTTTTACATGTTTTAGCTGGCAGCACTCATTCGACCATGAAGGGGAGCCAGTATTTAAACAAGGCTTAATTTTCTAATTTTTAACGATACAATAGCGATAATTATTATTTTAAAAAATTTTTGTTAGGCTTAACATCGATGAAAATTCAACGCAAAGTAGGTTAATAGCGATATACTAATATACTAATATACTAATTACATGGGATATAATAATATACTACACTAATAATAGATTTTTTCATACTTTTCGGTTATCCGCCCTTTCAATTATCCGTCCAACCCCAGTCCCCAATTAGGTCGGATAATCGAGGCTCTACTGTATTTTGTTTAATAAATATGTTTATTTATTTATTTTATTGAAGTTTTTATCATAGATTTACAAATAAAGTCTACTGTACAAAGAAAAATATTGAAATTTAAACATTCTGTATATAAAAAACAAAAAATATATAAATGAAAAGTGCAAAATAAAGTTTCCAAATTAAAATTAAACATTTTTGCAATTAGTTTAATTAAAAATTTTAATATTTTCATAAATGAAATCAATAAATGAGAATTTAAATCATTAATTAACGTTTACATGTATGTAACATCATTCACTCCTTAAATATGAAATTAATAAAAGTAGAAAATGCTATCGAATTACTTTTAACACATAAATATACATTATATTTAATAATTTAATTCTTTTCCATGCAAAAATATTTATTTATAAATCAATAACAGGATATTAATATATAGCAAATATAAATTACTCACTCCGATTGACAAGTAGGTATACACACATCCACTGATTTACGTTTTAGTACACTCCGTAAGGAAAGACGAGGATAATGAATACAAGTTGAATACAATGAATACAAGAATGCACGTGTTGGCACTTTAACCAGGAAAACCGGAAAATCCCCATCGTTCGTCTTCTATGACGCCAATCTACTTCCGATTGTGTCATACGTAACCTCATTTAACTGCGCTTCCGATCTACCTGAAAACTTCCAGAAAATTGTTCTGTATACGTACAACATTACGATATTTTTAAATAAACAATCTATAAATGGTAACATTATATGACGAAGCATATTTACTACTTTTAATTGTAGAATTTAGTATGAAAATGATAAGTAATTTAACTAGAAAATGAATTTTAAAGCTGTTTTTTATTTAATTTACTGTTAAATAAGTCGTAAAAGACATTTATCTTCATTAAGCTGTAACATAAAGTCGTAGTACAGACAGCTGTTATATATATCTATAAAGCCATACGTAATGTTAGAGTTATTTACGTGCATTTCCTTAAACACATGTAATCAGAATTTTTACTGTATGAAATATTTTTAATTAGTAAAATACTTACTATACGGCTATTTAAGGATGTAAAATATAGAATCAAAGTTATTGTAGCCTTGAAGGTTTTCTCCACTTCTATCTTTCAAAATCTTTAATGTAAGTGTATAAAGTGCAACCGGTTTTAGTATAGAGAATATAAGAAAAACAGAAAATGAAGTGCAACGACACTCAACCACCCAATAATTTTATCCATTATTCTTATTTTTATTTGTGTATATATATATTTCTTTTCATTTATAATTACGTTAAAATATAATTTCCTAATTTGTAACTTCTCAACAATAAGTCATCTAACCATTATTAATATCAAGATATAATTTATATTTTATCTGGAAATGGCATAATTAAAAAAAAAGCTGTTACACAACAGAAAAACCTGGAAATTCCTACAGAAATATCGTTAGTAGACGTCGAATTAATATAAAAATATATTTATTTCTCTATTCTAAAACATACTTCGCCAGTTTGTTTATTTTATTTTAAATTCTAAACACAATAACATCGATTCTGTTTTTAGATGTGTTTTAAGGACAAGAAATTATTATTTATAACTAAAAGTAAAATTGCATGAATCCATTTCGAGAGTGTAAATTACATCAAGAAAAATTTCGATCTTGTTTCCTCCTGAATCTCAGGAATTAGAATGA